AAGAGGACGGGCTACCAGCTCAGCATTTAATAACAATAACAGTTTACAATAATAGAAACACCACAGCTGGATAAGACAGGATTTCACCTCAAAACTGCCATATAACATCTGTTATTACTAGAGGAAGACTATGTCATGACAAAATAGCAAATTTAAATTCCAGTCCTACAAATGATGCAGTATTCTGAAATTCTGCAGGAGCAAAGGGTACTCAAAGCATCAGTCTGACTGCACGTTCAGCACCCTGATACTAACCTGGAAGCTCCCTTTGCATGCTATTTTTAGACATTCAAAAATTGCTACATTCTTTAGTAGATTTTATACTATGTGGTACATTGCTAGAATCTCCTGCTCTTCTGGTGGATATTAGAAGCTGGCATGCAGAGCCGTTTGCTAGTATTAAGAATCCCTGATTTTGCACAAAAAAGTAAATAAGTAAAAACACATTTAGTAAGTAAGTATACACCTAAGCAAGTGTTTTCAGGGAGAACTAGATTTTTTAATACTGCTTTTTTGTGTTGTTGATTTGAACATCTGAAAATAAAAATCTGCAGAGAATTTTTTCCTGTGTTTTCTGAAAGTCTTCTCTAATGGGAATCTACTGTCCTTTTCTTAAACTGAGTGAAATCGGTGATAAACTTCCCACTGATCTTGCTCTGGGCTTTGGATCAGGACATGGGCTTCACTAATAGGGGACACCTCATTCAACCTTCATATTTAATGCTTTGGCAGAAGTACCTGGTGAGAGGCTGTCTGCAGGAAAGAGTTTTATGAGAATGCTAAAAGAAAGATTGTGTGCCTGTGTGCTAAAATCAGGTTTACAATATCTATCTCATAGCGTAACTATAGAGATAGCCTGGTACAGAGAAGATCCTGTTGAAATATTTTAGGCCTTACAGTAGGTCCTTTAGAATGAAATGCTGGACATAAGCATTAAAAGCCAATAGAAAACGTTCCAATTCGAGATTAGGGTGAGCTTCGCCTTTGTGGGTTATCCTAAAATCTTCTGCATTGCACTGAAATAAGAATGAAGGAGTGAGAAGGGGGAAATAGCATGGAATAAGTAGGATGGAGTGACTAAGGATGTGCTTCAAAGGCCACTTGAGTCAATGGCTGTGTTTATAGGAGGATTTGGTTTATATTCTGAATTTCCCAACCAGAATCTGCACAAAAGGCAAAGGGGTGATTGTAATACCAATTTGCAGAGAAGAGTCTGCTCTGTGTAATCTCATTTTAGTACATATTGAAGAAAGGGGACTTACAGTACTGCTTTATGGCAAGGAGCATGTGGTGGGCTCCTGTCCACAGCCTGTCCCTGCAACACACAGGGTCTTTCAGCTTGAATATTTCAAGTAAAGAATGAAATGTGCATGTAAATACAGACATACATATAAACGTTTTTACATAAACAGAAAAATTACCCCAGTCTGTATTTCTTTGCTTTCAATATTTCTGTTTCAGAGCCCTATCTGTTCTGTTGATTCCCATTTGTAATGTTTTGGAATCTAGTAACAGTGCTGTTGGGTGCAGCTGAAGATCAACAACTGACTAGATCAGGACTAAGCAGTATAAAATCCAAAGACTGCCTTTAGATCTCTCAAAATTCAATTGGTGGTATTATACTTCCTAGCAAAGATTAAAAAAAGAAAAGTACTAATCCTTCCACATACATATAGACATATAAATTTAAGCATACATGCATGCACACACATACACAGAAGAAGAGTGAGAGAGATTAGCAAGGTATAATTAGCTTTTAAAGTAATGCCCCTTTACATCTCTCTGGCACTGTAGAGTCCTTAAAAAGGGAAGATACATAATTAACATTCATTTTAAGGCCATCTCAGTACTGATGAGAAGCGTAAAGGGGCCTTAGAGTAACAGATCCAGCCCAATGGTACCCACTGCCACATTTCGTTTTCACATTTTACAGATATTACAAATGAGATTCCTTAATTACAGGATACATTCTAAATAAAACATCATTACAAATATTAAACTGTAGAGAAGCTGGCACATTGGAACAAGACCTTAAGGGTAGATTCTGATATAGCCAGACTGTGAGTGACAGACTCACACCAAGCCACTACTTCTTCCACAGCAGGGCTCAATGCATTTATTGCTTAAGTAATTCTCTCTGACTATAAAACCAGCAGAGCTATTCTAACATTTTGTCCACTGGTCCAAAGTGCAGAGAAGCACAGGCAGCTGAAGGAGCACCTTTTACCCATATACAATGCCTAGCATAATAAACCACAACTATGTTTTGGGGCTGCTAGTTTCACTTCAGTGAAGAAAGGAAAAATAATAGGTATTAAGATAAATCAAATAACAATTCCTACTTTATAGATACTTGACTTTTCAGAAATTATAGCTTTTTACATAACACACATGCTTAGGAATCCTAATGGAAATGTATGACTGCATCTTGTTAAGACTAAAGTTCCATCTAGTCCAGCATCCTGTCTCCAGCTGTGAGCTGGCTGCCTAGAGAGGAGGGTAAAAAAGCAGGGGGAGTGTACAGTGATGCTTTCTCAGAACACTCCCCTAGTCCTGAACTTGCAGTTCAAGGACTTTCTGCACCAAAGCTTAACAGCTCCTGATTGATTTTCTTTCCATGAAGAGTCACTTTTGAGCGTATGTCTACTTTTAGCAACATTACCTCCTGCTCAAAGCTTCATTACATTGTGGGTGAAATGTCTATCTTTGTTTTGAACCTGCCACTTGCTATTTCCACTTCATGCCTCCTAGTTCTTGTACTGGGAGGAATGACAAACAGTGGTTCCCTGCTCACCTTACAAGATGCTCCGCTTTTGAAGATTATCCTGCAATAGGTCATGGGAATGTACTGTATTTTAATAGGACACTTGTGACATTGTATATGCTACTGCAGACAGAGCGAGAGAAAGAGTGGTTTTCATGATAATCCCGTTCTTAGGGTCTCATAACTTCAAAGCTGAAACTTGCTTTTTGTAGTCTACAATAAAAAGGACATTGTGAAGTTTAGAGGGGAGCTTACATCAAAGGTAACTAATAAACAATGTCTTCTCCTAAGTGACTACTCTTAAGCTATCTGAAGAGAGATTTTTTCCTATATCTGATTGTTTTGATAGAAGGATGTTAACTTTTTGGTGTCTCTTGGCAAGTTAGGACTCGTGTATTTTTGTATGTCTAGCTCATTCTTTTCCAGTATCTCATTTTTTTTATTTATACAAGAAAGAATGAGTTACATTTCTTTTTCAGACACAAGCCATACCATATACCATATTGCGTTCTACTTGTCTTGAATAAGAAACAGGCTTGAACAGTTAGTCATTTCCAGTGTCTGTCAACTAGATACAAGTTCAGGAAAATGAGCCATTTTAAACTTTCGGGACTGCCATTTTCAGCAGCAAGAACTCACATTCACTGTGCACTGCTCCCCAGCAACTTGTCATCTGGAATAAATCTGTTTATTAAAGATCTACAGAGCTCTGTAAAATATAGCAACAAGTCTGTGACTGCATTTATGCTCTTCTAACCCACACAACATATTGTGAATTCAGTATAATTTTAACCTTCATTCTTAAAGTGTGATGAAGGCATGTTTTATTCTGTTATCTTTTTAAAAAATGTCCCACTCTCCTTTTCTCTTCCTATCTTACCTTTTACTCTGTCTACTGTATCTTGATCTCTCTGACCATCAGACTCTTAGTGGTCTTTTATCATATTCAATTTACTTGATTGTCTAAAAACCTCTCACTCTTACAGAGGATTTTCTTTGTCCATGTGTTTTTGCTTTCACTGTGCTCTCTCTCTCCCTCTGCTTCAGTCTCTCCCCATTAATGCCTATCTCCAGTTTCTCATCGTTCTCCACTCTTTTCAGAAGACAGGGGGATGGTCAAATAAGTATCTGTGAAGCCATGCCTTGGGCTAAAATCCAATTTCTGAGTGCTAGTTAAAAAATTGGGAATGGCATCTCCTGTGGTTATTTTATCCACAGGCTAAATGGAAACACTACAAGCCTCAATGATGCTATTGATTGCCAATTACCCCTTAACTGCTAATGTGTACATGACACTGGCTTTGCTTTATTGATTTTTATACAGAGAATGTTGTATATTTTAGGAATTTTTTTTTTTCTGGAAGATAACATAAAATATTACAGGTTTTATCTTCTTTCAGACTATGTAGCCAAAATTGGTACTTGATCCAGAAATCTCCGGAGACCACATTATACACAAGGAATTCTGTGTATAAATGTTCCAGTTAACAGTTTTTTACATTGGAATGATACGTTTTAAGAGAAACACACACACCCCAACATCTGTATGTAAACAATCTTGATTTCAACCACATTCAGAGGATTTGATTTGTCTGAAAGGTTTTGATTGCAAATTTTATGCAGATACATGTAAATGCTGCTGTGTTTGGTTAGGGGCAGTGCAGACAAAACCTGCAGTCTCACAGCCTCTGTGTACTTAGAAGTATTAACTCATTCTACAGATTGCAGTATGGCAAAAACCTGTAGATCTAAATCTAGCAGTCTTGATATTTTCATTTCTTCTTTGTTATTTGTGCATTAGCATCTACAAACCAAAACTGACATCACTCTATGCTGAACAAACACACAGCAAGAAACAAGCCCTTCCCCTGGAAAGTTTTAGGTCTAAGGGTGAGATTTGCAAAATTGCCTACTGGAAGTAAGAGCCCAAATCCTCATTTTCAGTTTGCGATGCTACCTTTGTTGGACACTTATAAAAGGCAAGACAAAAAAAAGGTAGACAAAAAAAGACAGAGGAAAGGCAGGATTAATATGACAGTTTTACAGGCAAGGAACTGAGGCATAGGGAGATTAAATGATTTGCACAGCGTCACTCCTGAAATCTGAGCACTGACCTAAATTCTCCTGAGTCCTTCTGCACCACACTACCCACACCACCAACTCTCCAAGTCTTCACGTAGCCTGTGCCTTGTATGAACCATCCTTTAAATAGTCAAGGTTTAGACATCCCACTTACATTTTCACTGTTAACATCTGCCTCACTGGGGCAGCCAAAGAGTTCCCGTCTCAGCAAATTCCCATCATATTCCAGGAATGTCAGGTAGAGGTTGCGGAAAAACTCCACGTGCTTGTTTTTCACTCGCAGCTTCTTTGGTGAGTTCCAGTGAATCACCTCAGAGGGGAAAAAAGAGAAAACACATCTTGCCGTTAGAATACAGATTTGCTTTATCTGCTCTTTTCATGTGTGTTCAGTTCGCTGCCCTCTTAAAAACAAAACAAAAAAAGCAGAGCAACTCCTAAACTACACAGACTTCTTTCTACCTTTTTATCAGGAAGGCTTTGTCACGTCTTTCACAGTTACTGCATACTCTACAGGTGATGTGCTTTGAAACTCCTCTATAGGACTACCTGCACATTTGAGTTAGGGTGCTGCCCTAGTTTGTGATGCAGCACCTCATAAACACTGCCGCAACTCTAATCGTGGACCTGACTCTGTTGAAGAAGGTGGTGGGATGAGGGACACAGGCATGTAGGTATTAAACATTAATCTCAGATTTCCACATGACTGTTTCAGTTAATGAAATTGATTCACTGTTGCAGGTCAGGCAGACTCTTCTCTGGTTAGGTTTTGAGATAAAAAAAGCTTGAAATTAATTCCTATACCCATTTACACCCTTCAAAATGGACTGCATTTAATCTGACTTCCTTTTCGCCGTTGCTTCATTTAAACAAGACTGATCTCAGTTGCGTTACACAACACAGTGATACAGTACGATGCTTCACCCTTTGAATTCCAATTTCTAGCAGGTATTTAGCCTCTGCTAATGGGAGATGACTCTCACACTGGCCTAGATTTAACTCTAATGCTGACATAAAGGGCCTGATTCTCATTTAAGTCAAGGCAACTTTGCACTGCTGCCAGTGCGAATGAGAATGGGGCCCTAAGGAAAAACTAAAAGGGAGCCAAAAGTGGCTTGCAGGAATGATTTCATTTTATAGAGGCTATATTTTAAGCATAAGAAAAAAACACCAAATGCTTTATATTCAGTTTTACTCCTGTGACTTCTAAAGAGATTTAAAAAAAAAAAAGTCTCCCTTGGGAATATTTCCAAGCTAGGAGTTCTGGAGGTTCTCCGAATCCATTAAGTTAATTGCGTGAAGGCACTGTATCACTCACACACAGCCACAGAGCTGCAACGCCAGCTGCTGAGCTGGTCGTGCGGTAAGCTTTGCACTGAACATTGCGTTTGTGGGAGGGAACACACAGAGCTGAAGCACAGCACGTAGAGCAGAAGCAGCCCAAACAAGATGAACTCAGTTCCCTTCGTGTCAGGAACACAACTCCACAGGAACAGAGAGACCTCTGAAATCATGTTATCTGCTGCTGAATGAGTGGACTGGAGGAGGAAAGAGTAGGATGTAGCCCGAATTCTTCCTGTACTAACTTCTGCAAACAACACAGTCTGTCCACTGGGTAGTTACACTGCCATAAAAGCTCAGGCAGTCTCTTCTATATACCCAACACCAAGGAAAGTATCTCCTGATAAGGAAAGCCTTATCCCTTCCTGGGATTTCACTGCTGAAC